TACTTACACGTGATGTTCCAAATATTCTTCGGTTTCTACCTTAACTGTGTCCATTGATACGTATATTGTTGACCTTACAATTATGCTAAAATTATTTATTCATCTAAACAGACATATAACGCTGTTTATTTATATAGCTATTTAAAAACTGCTACTGTCTTAATGTTGATTGTATTACATATATTTTATTATGAAATTGAAACCTTTTTTACTTAATGAGTTGTAAACACAGATACCCTGAATAATACACAAATAGTAAGATCTGTGCTCAGAGACAGAACTGAGAAAATCGTCGTTCTGTGAACTCTACGTAGGTTACGTGAAGGCTGTGACACACAGAACTTATCAAGAGTATGTTCTGTGCTGTGACAGAACCACAGCCTAACCACGACCACCCTTACTACAGGCCATGTAATGAATATCTGACATATGTCATAAGATTGCCAATATTCCCGCCATTTCTTGTAGTGGTATACTAAACAGGAGGCTTCCCAAAACTTTCGCAGTTTGAAGTTAAATAATTTGAGCTTTTGGTATAAATTCTATATTTATCAATAGTGTACAGTGTATTACAAGTGTTGATGTTAATAATTTGTTGAAATCTCAACATCAAACACTAAAAAACGAAGTGCTTAGTTTGTTTACAAATTTCAGTGAAACGAAATCAATTTTGTGTTGTTCAAGACTTTCGTAGTTTGAAGTTAATATTTTACGATTTCAGTTCTAATCCTCTATTCATTAATGTTCTATAGTGTTATTGACGTGCTAGTGTTGATAGTTTGTGGATAACATTTCATCAAATTATAAAAACGAAGTGTTTTGTGTGTACCGATTTAATCGAATCGAATTTGTGTTGTGTTTTGAGTATGAATTACTTAAAATAATTTGTTTGTGAAATGTAATGTAGAGGATAGGTATTCCGTAGATGATTCAGTAAGTTTCAACCTTGGGATAGGTGAGTTTATTTATAGTAATAAGTATATTTTCTAACCTATTTATTACCGATAACCATCGAATAAACAGATCGCTATTCACAAATCTAACTAACAATAACACATTCTTTCAAAATCCAAACTTTCCTCAAAACAGAATTTTTGGAAGCTATGATTTTATTTATTATTGATAATATTTTAATTATTTGCAACGGGGAGGACTGAATATGCCTACAGAAAATGTCTTATTTCACATGTGTTCCATATTTGAAAAAATTATTAAAGGTATTTCTCTTGAACGTGCCTTTTTGTATAATATACACCAGAAAGCAATTTTGTGTAATCTCACTATTTTAAGAGTGTCATTGGATGAGTCCTTAAAGATTTTTGTTGTTGCTGTTTATGTGATGAAGACAATAAAAATATTCTGAACATGCTGTGTTCCATTTTTTCGAATATCTTATTGAATGATTAGACAAAAAAAATAATGAAGCCGGACACGAGAAAACTGAATCAAAAAATAAACGAAGAAAGCTCAATACTTTCGTAAAGTAGTTTGTTGGTTGCTCTAATCAGAAATATAATATGTATTTATACTAAGGTAAATAATTCAATTTGAGTAATTCCTACAGCGTTTCTTTCAAGGTTCCTATTCTCTCAAATAATTTAATAAACTTGGTTGGGCAACTTTTCATGTAAATAAATCCCACTGACTAATAGAGGTATTTTTTACGCAGTGGGGCTTTATCGAAAACATCGTTGTTTTCTTGCAATAATAAATGTTTTACAGTTTTCTGTTACAGAAATATGTGCTCACAATACCCAATATAATATTCTTTATATTATACATACTAATAATATTCATTGTTTGTTCACAATATACAAAAATAGTTGAGATAATGCTTATAGTATACAACTAAGCACAATTTGGCAACACCGAGGGACTACGCTCTTCATGGCCTGTAGTAAAGGGGGAAGTGGCCTAACTCTACTTACAAGCCATGAACATAGACTTGGCAACGCCGCATCTGCTGAATCAGGTAGACCGATCGATCTTCGAATATCGGTCTACTGCATGTTATAATTGCCTTTTCAGAAAACTTTGCAACAAAACGGTACTTTGTATAAAAAAAAAGTTTTAACAAAAATTGTAGATCATACAATTATCTATAGAAATTAATAATACACTTTTTTCTAAGGAAAACTATGTCTAAGTTATAGCGATTCAAATGTTGTTTTTTTAGTATGTACACTAACAAGTTCACTTTATCAATAAGAATTGACAATATGCTATAAATTTTATTATTTTTCATTCTCAGATGAGAGTAAGTTTAATGCGTCAATTCCTTTAAACCTTTATTGAGATGTGTACAGTAATTTGGACGGTTGAATAATTCGGATATCATATTTGAAACAGGCAAGCAAATTTTCCAGTTGAGACTATCTAGTTAATTTCAGTTGTAAAATACATTTTAAATCATTAGGAGGCAGTTTATTTTCATTAATAAAAACATTTACATGCATATCTGAATCTACTAAAATCTGATTAATAATTTGTAAATTGTTTATTTGTGAATATTCAGTTACGTTGGATGGAAAAACTAGAGTTTAAAAAAATGCTGTTAGTTTCAAAAGTTTTTATATTCCACGATTTACATATTAAAATCATTTTTTATAATTGGATGTTTAATCAAAAAAATTTATTGAATTTGAGTTTTCTAAGGCTTCATTCAATTTCTCACAACGTTCCTTCAATGCTGGTTCTTTCATCTGGATATTCTCTTTGAGAGTGGACTGTTTATGATAAGTAGGGGTAAATGAAGAAAAATACTTGGCACTGCATCTAAATTGAGTTTAACTTGATCCATCTAGCCTTCCTGCCTTCTGTTGATCAATCTAGCAAACGATGAATACCTTATCTAGTAAGTGCTCCTTCTGGAAAATGTATGGCACAAACTACAGAATATTTTGTGGGGGTCCATGATGCCCTAGGAATATTTTTTAGCCACTGATTCATTAGATTTCCATCATATGGAAAACGAAATACACAAACTGGTGGTTCGCCGGCCTCGAGGTAAGTTTTGTAGTTCGACTTGCATCCAGGCACACAGCAACGACTTGGCATGTTAATTTTTGTGCTAATATCAAGAACAAGACTTATAAGAGATTACTTCTAAATAACTACTAAATTTAACAACGGGTAGTACTTCTACTTGTTGTAGCACAACAACTAAAACGCGGATTTTTGTTTTTACACAATTATGAAATGGTGAGTTAGGTATTATTTCTACCATCTCCAGGTATAACCAAAAAAAGCAGAACTTAAAACACAACAGATATTCCTGTTTATATAAGACTTTTGCGGGAAATTTCTTTTGCTTGTTCTTCACAACTTCAAACAATAGCACTTTTCACAACTTATTTTTGGATTTGAATGTTATTTCTCTCGTTAAATAGCGATTTATTCAGCAGCAATGACCAGAAACCATTACAGCATCATTATTTGTGGGTCTTGCTTGGATGTTGCCAGATTTCCTAGTTCATGGCTTGTAAGTAGAGTTGGGCTGTGCATATTGTCAATTCTAATTGACAATGTGGACTTGTAAGTGTACATCACAGAACATACCAAATTAATTGTATGTTCTGTGGTGCACATACTATAAAAACAACTTTTGAATCGCTATAACTCAAGACATAGTTCTTCTCAGAGAAAAAGTGTATTATTAATTTCTATAGATAATTGTTTGATCTACAATTTTTGTTGAAAGTATTTTTTATACAAAGTACCGTTTCGCTGAAAAGTGTTCTGAAAAGACAATTATAACATACAGTAGACCGATGATCGAAGATCGATCGTTCTACCGAATGAGCTGATGCGGCGTTGCCCAGTCTATGTTCATGGCATGTACGTAGAGTTAGGCTGTGCTAGTAACATTAAAAAGGATTGTTTTAATAAAGTAAAACACGTTTATTATTACTTATAATACAACAACGTACAACCGCAAGAAACTAAAAAAAAACATTATTTTAGGTTGTCAGTAACTTGACATCTGTCAACTTCTACCAACTTAACATAATTGTAGTCAATAACACCAAAAGATACATCCCCTGTCCCCGTGGTCAAAAAATGGATTGTATTTTGTTGCTAGTTATGGCATGCCTTTGATATCATTTCACTTAATTGGTACTGCCTCGTATATTGAAATGCATTTTTCTGTATTCATAAGTATAGTTAGACTTTCTTGCCATTTTTTCGAAATAAGTTTCTTAATATTGTGATATTATTTTAATTTTAAGGAGTTTTTGTTCAGTATTGTTCACTTTTCAATTAGTATATGTAATTAAAGTATGTATGATTAAATTTACCAGATATTTTTTTTAAAGAAAAATTAAGATTCTAAAACGATTCCACCCTGAGACAGAGTCAACTAAATAAAATTAAAAAATTCAAAATTTATAAGTTATTTAAAAAGGGTAAGAAATAAAGCAATTCATTTCAAATGTCTGATCATAACAAAATCTGTATTAGGAGTGATAGTTATCATTTAAGAAATAATGGGTTGAACATGACAGTGGATGAACTAAATCAGAATAAGTCAGGAATAGAGGTAGAAATAGGAAGAATAATAAAGGGAATATATTCATAAAAGTAAATTCTGAGAATAAAACTAATATAAAACTACATAGTTTTTACTAAGTAGTTTAGTACAAGTAGTGTTATATTTTTTACATACTGAATTTGATCATTGTAGTCATTAGTTTGCAGCTTGTTTTCTCTTGAAGAAGACACAAAAAAAGTGTCGAAATATCGAGAATTGTAATGAATAAATAAGTTTTTAAACACTTCACCAGAATATATAGTACAGAAATTATTCGTTTTAACCAACTACGTACGTACAAGAGCAATGTATTACTTTATTATAGTGAAAATTGGAAATCGAAGTTACATCCAAAAGTTTCCGAACTTCGATTGGGATTCGAACCAAGGTCTTCAGGTTTATGATGATCTACCAACGTAGCTACCGAGGTAGAAAAGTTGTTAGATATGAGTAGCATCTGGCACAGCAAGACCTCGTTAGCTTAGTTGGTAGAGCAGCGGGGCGTAAACCTCAAAATCTCTGGGTTCGAATCCCAGTCGAGTTCGGAAACTTGGAATATATATATATATATATATATATATATATATATATATATATATATATATATATATATATATATATATATATATATATATATATATATATATATATATATATATATATATATATAATTACATATAGTCGAGTTTTATACTTACCCAGAATATATATTTTAATTGGTTTATGTGTGTGAAATTGAAGTTAAAACTGGAAAAAATTAGTTTTGAGATGTGATGTTTGGTGATGTTGTGTATTCATTTTATGAATGTTATTTATGAGGTTTATCGAATCGTTGTAAATAGAATTGAGATGTTTAATAGCTGTTCTTTCATTTACTGTGTTTTCCAAATTTTTACGAATGTGTAACATTTCTAAAATTTCTCTACATTTTTTGTCTGTTACAGTTCCTAGAATCTTTGTATTTTTATAATCAAATTCGTGTTTTTCTGTTATTTTATTTTATGTAAGGCTGTTATTTGAGTTTTTGCGTTTTAATTCTTTCTTCGAGATTTTCTGATATTTGTCCTATATAGCATTTATTGCAATTATTACATGGTATATTAAAAACAGTATGAGTTTTTTTTCTGAGTTACTGCTTCACTCTTCAATTCTGTTTATATTTCTTTGATTTGATTTTTGGCAGTATGTGCTATTATTAAATTATAAGGTTTTAATATTTTAGCAATATTTGTACTAATTTTGGAATATATGGTAGGGGAATTTAAATTTAAAACTCGACTATATGTATATATATATATATATATATATATATATATATATATATATATATATATATATATATATATATATATATATATATATATATATATATATATATATATATATATATATATATATATATATATATATATATATATATATATATATATATATATATATATATATATATATATATATATATATATAAAATAATGTCAGAAATTCACTACAGGAAAAAGCAATCTGTAATTCCCGTGCTATATTAACGCACTTGTAGATACACTACTTATAGATATTCGCTATCAAAGTACATTATAACCTTATTTGGGTAATTTGTTATTCAAAAGAATATTATAGCGCAGCTGGCTATGTGAAACATGAACAATCCGATGTCTCCATTGTCCTTCTAGGGATCAATGTTAAAGAATATCTGATTCTCCATTGTTCTTCATGGGAAAAATGTTAAAGAATCTTGAAATTGATGCCTACATTTATTGAAAGCGTGAGACAGTCACTGTTTCGTACTACAAGATTATTACGTACGAATAATTAGATGAAATTGTTTCAAAAGTCTGGACTTGTAAAATGTAGTATCTTAATTGATAAGGGCGTGTGAAACTTTCAATGCAGATGTGTTCATGTGTTTTTCATTGATTCTAAGATTTGAGATGTACATTAATCTATGCATTATATAGGCATACGACTTACTCTATATTTCTGTCTCAAAATCGACTAGAGGGTATGTGAGGATTGAAATATTTGCCTTTCAGTCGTTGAACGTGGCTTAACTGATGAGTACCTTGTAGTACGAAACAGTGACTTTCTCACGCTTTCAATAAATGTAGGCATCGATTTCAAGATTCTTTAACATTTTTCCATGAAGGATAATGGAGAATCTAATATTCTCTAACATTGATCCGCTACATTAATATTAATGTTATAAACTGCCCATTAAATAAGTCAATTTTAAGATAACTGAAAAGGTTTTTCTGTGTACTTCAAGGTGCATCTTCTGATTTTATTTTCTCAGAGGGGCAGAGTTGCAGAATTTTGCAATTATAATTTTTCTTTTTCATATGATAAACTTTGAAATGATTTATCAAATTAAATTTCACTTTGTCTCGATAACCGCACAAGTGACATCTAAAATATCTACCATTCGAGTGAACTGTCCTAATGTGTATAGACAAAGAGGATTTTCTGAAATATACATAGTCACACATCTCACATTTAAAATCTCCTTTTTTCTTGCAAAGATTTATGGAATGATTTGTCAGACTTTTATTCGTAAGCGATTCGTCATGGCAAACATTAGTACTGCCATTATTTTCTTCCAAATGGTTGTCCGCTATGTGCCTAACGAGATTGGACTTTCCAATGGCGGCAAAATCGCACATATGACACTTAAAATCTCGATTCTCTACATGGCTACCTTCGAAATGACTTATCTCCTCGGCGTTTTGTACTTTCGTGGTATAGTCGTACAAGTGACTCTTATTTGGATGAACTGATTTAATGTGTATTGACAACTTGTGATTAGTTATGAAGTGATTGGTTAGATGCTGTTTCATTTTAGCCACATACTCGCATAAGTGACACTTGAATTCTGTCTTATTCAAGTGAAACCCTACAATATGTGTCGTCAGTTCGGATTTTCTAAAAGCGGTAAAAGTGCAAAATTGACAATCAAAATATTTCTTTTCCGAATGAGCAGACTCAACATGCAAATTGAGATCTGGCTTTTTGTGGCAAGAAAAGTCACACATCTGACATTTAAAATTCTTCTTCACTTTATGAAATGCTATGAAATGATCCGTTTGACTCTTCTTTGTTGGAGCTTTGTGGTTGCAAATATTACAACTGTAATTCTTCTCTTTCAAATGGATGTCCTCTATGTGTTTATCGAGACTGAATTTTGTGGGGGCGGCAAAATGGCACATTTGGCAATTGAAATACTTCTTCAAATGGATCGTATTAACATGAAAAGAGAGAAGATCTTTCTTATTTGTTTTATAATTACACATTCTGCATTTAAGGTTTTCTAGTTCTGGATTTATCGTTCTTAGATTAGACAATCTAATGACATCATCCGAGTCATATACTGAATTAGAGTTAATCAGAATCGAATTTGGTAGCTGATGAGAGTTTCCATTTACAGACTCATTTTCAATATATTTCTTATTTTTTTCACTAAGCTTCGATGCCCGCTTTCTACAGAATTGTTCACTGAAAAAGGACAAACTATTAATTCATTACAAAATTTATGGTTACCACAAAAATCAACAATAAAATTATCCTAGTTTCTCTTTGTTTATCGTTTTTTTTTTGTTGATATGATAAAAGAAAATAAAAATGAAAGAATTAAATGATAATAATAACAATAATTTTTATTCGACAAAAACCAATAAAACAATAAAGTTACTAATTTAATCATTAAACAATGAAACAAAGAATAATACATCCCATAAAATCCTCTTAGCAGTGAATATTTTCGATTATTCTTTTGAAATGTTACCTAATTTTAGTTATATAAGTTGAGTGTGACCTATTATCATCTATAATATTTCAGTAGTAAAATTTTTTTGAATTGCTTAACCTCCTGTCTTGTATTTCAGACAATTTATATTTTTTATATTTTCCTGTAACTTGTAATTACATTGCATTTTAATTAGTAATTTAAGTAGGTATATATAACATTAATGTGCAAAGTGGATTCTGCAAGTTTCAATATTGAAAATATTAAAACACTAACCAAACTTCTTGTAGATTTTCCTTTGGAAGAAGCTTTTCATTTTCTAATATGTCACCACTATTAGAATTATTATCATCTGAGGCATTTGAAATGTTTGAACTATTGACATTTTCCTGGAATTTATTTGACATATAGTCCTTGACAATAGATTTATCTAATTCCTCCTCAACAATATCCAGAGGTTTAATACAGTTGGAATCTGAATCGTAGAAATTCTCATCTGAAAGAAAAGAACTAATCCTGAAAATGGAAAATATTAATTAAACAAATAAGGATAAGTTAATCTATAAATAATACAAACAAGAAATACCAGACACCGGAATACCTAAAGGCATATGACACCAGGCATCCTGATTCATATTTATTTATTTATTTTAAGCTACAACAGCATCAAATATTTACATGCCAGGTCATACAAAATATATACTATATGTAGCTCTTGGACAAGTACAAATCAGCAAATAAGTGTGTTCAAGCTTCATCGTTGTTGTTCATGTTCATATCATTTATGAAGATGATAAACAAAAAATAGTTCTAGTGAGCCCCGAGACACACCAAGCTCAACATTTCTCTTTTCAGAAATTTTATTATTCCAAGTCACTGTTTGTTGTCTATCGTTTAGATATGATGATATTAACTTCAAAACCAAATCTGAACTCCATAGTGTTTGTTTTTCTCTGATATTAAGTTACGGCTTGTACTATCAAACGCTTTAGTAGTGTGTCGGCATGTTATTTGTGATACCCAATTATCATTAACGGCAGAGGCAATGCCGCTCACCATTTCAATCATTGCTGTTGTTCTCTATATCCATATATAAATATATATAAAGTATATATATATATATATATATATATATATATATATATATATATATATATATATATATATATATATATATATATATATATATATATATATATATATATATATATATATATATATAATATGATTTATTGCCTGTTTAAGATATTTTATTTCGAAAGTTTTTAGCAATAACAGGCTTTTTTTGATATGAAAAACTTTATTTTTGTTGACGTTTCGTTGTTTTTAAAAAACAACGAAATAAAATATCTATATATATATATATATATATATATATATATATATATATATATATATATATATATATATATATATATATATATATATATATATATATAAAGAACAGTAATTTAGTCGTGTTAACCTCACCACGTGCGGACATGAATAATTGTATTATATTTTTACAGTGAAAATTGAGAATTGAAATTACATTTCAAAAGTTTTGAACTCGACTGGGATTCGAACCCAGGTTCTTTGGGTTTACGCCCCACTGCTTTTGACCGCTAAGCTACCGAGCTATACTACTATATATATATATATATATATATATATATATATATATATATATATATATATATATATATATATATATATATATATATATATATATATATATATATATATGCCACCTGTTGGTTTGCAATGATATTCTTGAGTATTTTCGATGAAACTATTTTCGTAGAATATCGGCTTGTAATTTGAGGGATT